TTTTTCATTGTGTCATGTAGGTTCTAATGGGATACTTCAACATGAATCTACTCAATTTTAAGAAATCGGCTTCTACTCAATTTCAACAAATAATTGGCGCTTTGTTTCCTTTTCGAGCGGAGTATGGGTTTCCTGTGGTGGTACACGGAATCCAGGACGGACGGAAACGTATGTACGCGCGGGATCCCTGTGTCGGTCCATGGAAAATCGACTCGATGGTATACCATTTTTTACCTTTTTACCTTCGGCCCGCGCGGGAGCTCCGCTATGAGATCATGAAATGAAATATTGTGCAGGGTCACGCTCGGACAAAAGTGCACAAAAACCTACAACAAAAAGCTTCCTAACCATTTCCCTTTTATACAACTATGACACAAGCAGTGAATCAGATTTAAGATAGACGCGGCAAAGGATCGGTATTTGAACCTCTTATTCGATGCTACTCGAACTTAATATCACAGCAAACTGTACAAGCATATCTCACGTATTTTTTAACCTTGATTCTTGAACTTCCCATAAATGTTCTTCTCTCAAATACCGAGAAAATGCTATAGATAGTAATGCTTTTTCATCGACCAGACTTCACTTACAAATTTAACTAACCAGAAGTAAAGGGTTTCCGCGGACATTTCAATGATGTTTGTTGTCAAGTTCTGAATGACTTTTCCTTGTGGCATGTCTTTATAACTGTAGGTTCTTTTTGGGTTCGTTCTCTTTGCCACTCTTCAAATATTTTCACGGCCCATTTTGTAACATATTGCGTTAATTTAGGCTGGTGGTCCTTTATAAACTTTTCTTCTTCGGCATAACTTTTAGGCTTCCGAAAGCTTCGTTTTGAACTCATTTTGTCTTTAACGACCAAAAATGCTTGAATGCTTGCATTTATATTACTTGCGTTGTTTACTTAAAGTGGCATTTTATTAACATTCGAAGAACAAAACCACTGCTCAAACCACGATCCCCTTGAGTTTTGTAAGCCGTTGTTTACTTAAAGCAGCATTTTATTAACATTTGAAGAACAAAACCAACTTGAACCACTATATCCCCTTGGGTTTTTGAAGCCGTTTAAAACACTCTCTCTCGTGTTTTAAACTATACGTAACGTGCATTTTATTTGATATGAAGTAGCTTTGCCCATCTGGCAACAACGATCTTAAGCGTTAAAACAATAAAATGTTTGATGTGACGTCATAATGAAATTGTGCATTTGCATTCGGTCGACTGACTTCAATAACGACTCTCCTAGCCTGTTTAAATTAAATCATTCGTAAAGACACGTCTCGTTAAACTGTTGATACAACTTGTTGTGCCATAGCAGTTTTCTGGAATTCTACGATCGTTAGAGGGGGACACATTCGATGGTATGGCGTTGTTTATTTTGTACTGGATTATAATAGCTGGAGCAAACTCAATTATCGAGAGCTCCTTAATTATGCGGGCGTTTGAACGAAGGGTGAATAGAGCTATTTGTCGCAAAAGTTCTTATCCAGCTGATCCTGTACAGCATTTTTAAGCTAAATATATCCATCCTTTGTAAAACTATAGAATCTTGTGAAAACATTGTGAAAATAGAGATGATATTTGACAACGATTTGTTTGACTGCATACTGTGTTGAAGTGACATAAACTCACGAAAATTTAGGACTTGTTATTAACTAATTACACCCTTTTTCATTGTGTCATGTAGGTTCTAATGGGATACTTCAACATGAATCTACTCAATTTTAAGAAACTGAAAACTTTATTAATACCTTGGGTTCTTACAATTTCCACCTAAAAATTTTAATAATAGTAACAATAACTCATCATCAACCTA